TATACTGTTGAATGACTCAAATATACGCAATTGATAAGATTACATTTCAGTGAACATTCTTTTTTTGTCCAGGTCACAGTGTTTGTCGGTGTTTTTGTTTTACTCCTCTTTTTATATCTTGTTCTATCGATCCACGATAGTTTAACTCATTTTTATTTACTGCTGGAATATAGTTTTCATTTCAAAAATTCTATATTATTCAGAATATTTCTCAATTCTCCTCAGTAAGTGAATTATTCATTATTTCGTCAAGAAATACGAGATATTCATTATACCGTACACCGTAAAAAATCTCTTTAATTTTTTATCACATTGAAGTATTGTTGTTTTCATACACTTCTAACACAAAATTAGGAGACATTCACGTATTTGAAATTTTGTATTTTTCCCTTGTTTTAGTTAACAAAACAATTTTTTCGACAATATATTCTCTGAACTGCTCAGATCTATTCATTTTTCACCATGAGTAGTGCTGTAACTACGAAGTTGAAACAAATTCGTGCATTTCGAGATGCCGCAATTTATAGAATATGTGTTCTTTATGAGTTAGCGAAATTAGCAGAAACCGATGAACTTCAGCATTCATATTTTAGAGTTCGATACTTGGAAGGCAATGATATTTTCGAGGAATTCAATCGACATCATAATGAATTGATAAAAATTATCTCTACTCAAGAGGATAACGATCTAGAAACTGAAAAGTTGCTTAGACAAGAAGTTGATAAAAAGTTTTATTTAACCAAATCGATTCATTATGAGTTGTTTAAAAAACTTCTCCACAACCAATAGCAAGTTCAAGTAACGACAACACGCGACTTCCAAAGTTGAATATACCTACATTCAACGGTGACCTAAAAAACTGGTCAACATTCATCGGTTTATTCAATTCTTCAATTCATGGTAGGATAAATATGAGCAATATCGAGAAGTTTCAATACTTAATATCCTCTTTATCTGGAGAACCATTAACGCTATTGAAAAATCTCTGCTCCAATCGATATGCTTCTTGGTGCAGATATTTTCCATATCTCCTGCAAGGAGGTCCAAACCCCAATATCCCTGTTGCTCTTGATACTTCCTTCAGATGGATCAATATGGGAAAAGTCTTCCCCTACTTTGAAAGCTGTCACCTCACATCTGTTGTTATGTGATATCTCGCTTGATCACACTATGAAACGCTTTTGGGAGTTAGAAGAGGTCCCTAGAATGAATAATCGTTCTCCTGAAGATTTATTGTGTGACAAGCTCTTCAAAGAAACACATTTCCGCCTTCCTTCCGGAAGATTTGTTGTCTCTCTTCCTTCCTATCAATATATATCAACAATACGCCGATTTCATAAAAGAATATCTTTTATGTAACCACATGGAAATTGTTGACATACCCTCCTCTTTTGACAATATGTATTACATTCCACATTTAGGTGTATCTGATCCCAATAGTACTACCACAAAACTTCTCGTCGTTTTCGATGCTTCGTGTAAATCACCCCAAGGTTTCTCTCTCAATCACACTATGCTCACAGGGGAGAAACTTCAGAGAGTTCTCATCAGTATTCTCCTCAACTTTCGACTCCACAACCATGTGTTCACCTCATGCGTGAAAATGATGTACAGACAAATTTTAATTAAGGAATCTCACCGCGATTACCAGAGCATACTGTGGAGATTCTCCCCTCAGGATGCAGTGCTAGATTTCAAACTTTCAACTGTAACATATGGATTATCATCGAGTCCATATCTTGCAATCAAGTGCTTGTTAAAGCTAGCTGAAGATGAATCCGGTTTTCTAGATGCGTCTCGTGTTATTCGCAGTGATGTTTATCATGATGATATAGTCACAGGAAGTAACACACTGGAGGGTGCAATGAAACTTCAATCTGATCTGATTGCTCTCCTTGAGTAAGGTGGCTTCTCTTTGAGGAAATGGTCTTCAAATCACCCTGCTCTCCTTGCAAATTTTTCTCCTGATGACTGTCAGCAAGATGTATTTTCTTTTGATACACAAGATTCCGTTGTTAAAATCCTTGGTCTGAAATGGTTGCCCTCTCAAGATTATTTCTCGTATTCCATATCAGCTACAAACAATGCATGCACAAAAAGTATGCTCTCTGAAATTGCTAGAATATTCGATCCGATTGGATTTCTTTCTCCTATAACATTTACTGCAAAGCATCTCATCCAACATCTATGGTGTCTCGGTTTGGATTGGGGCCAATCTCCTCCTCCAAACGTTATTGACAAATAACTTTCTAGAGATTTATTTCCCTCGCAGTTATTCAATTTTCCTCTTTGGTTTCATGGTCCCTCTTGGTTCAGAGAGAAAGAAGATGAATAGCCCACTAAAAGTCCCGTCTGTCCTCCAGAATCAATCGAAGAAGAGCGGGACCTTTACTTCGAGGCTAATGTCACTATCAATATCTTCGAAAATCTGTTGAATAAATTATCGTTTCTCGACAAAATTACGAGTATTATTGCTTGGTGTTATCGATTTATCAGTAATCTTCGAAATGAAACAAAATCGTATTCTCCTTTAACTCAGATTCACACCCATCATGCCTTCATGATAATTGTTAAACAAGTTCAAGGTGTTTCGTTCTCGGAAGAAATTCACCGACTGCAGCATCAGAAGTCCTTATCAGAGTCTTTTCGTAAACTGAAACCATTTCTTGATGATGATGGGGTGCTTAGAGTAGGAGGGAGACTACATTTCTCAGGTCTCGTATTTGAGCATGAACATCCAGCAATCCTTCCCATCCGGGTTTGCGCACTCTTCAATACCTTTTATGTAAAAATTTCTGGATACTTTCNTTGCGCACTCTTCAATACCTTTTATGTAAAAATTTCTGGATACTTTCTCCTCGACATGCAATTCATCGAATTCTTAGTAAATGCATCACTTGTTTTAAATCTAAGCCAACTTCTATCGCGCCTCCTATGGGAACTCTACCAACATATCGAGTATCTCAGCTGAAACCGTTTCAGTGTGTAGGGGTTGACTATAGGGGTCCCTTCAAAATTACTATGTCAAAGTACCGTGGGGTGAAAACACACAAGGCTTATATTTGTCTTTTTGTCTGTTTCTCAACAAAAGCTCTGCACCTCGAGCTGGCAAGTGATATTTCCTCTGATTTCTTCATAGCTGCACTCAGACGATACATTAGTCGACGAGATCGTTGTACACGTTTATATACCGCGTCCTCAACAACCTTATGAGAGATGCTGTTATTCAGGAGAAACTTGAATGGCCATTCAGCGCCCCAAGTTCTCCACATTTTAATGGTCTCATAGAGGCAGGTATCAAATCGGTAAAAACTCACCTCATGAGATCACTCGAAAATCAAATTCTCACTTATGAGCAATTTTATACCTTATTGGTGCAAGTCGAAGCACTGTTTAATTCTAAACCCCTTTACGCCATGAGTGATGATCCAAACGACTTGACAGTTTCGACCCCAGGTCATTTTCTAACCCTCGAACCTATGACAGTCCTCCCTGATCCTAATTTGACTAATTTTAACATCAATCGCCTCGATCGCTGGCAACTGCTGCAAAGACGTCATCAAGATATATGGAAACGGTGGCATAATGAGTATCTGTATACTCTGCAACAGAGACATAAATGGATATCTCCTTCGAGAACCCCTCACGTGGGCGATCTGGTCCTTATGAAAGATGAGCAGACTTTCACCCTACAGTGGCGTTTGGGGAGAATTGAAAAATTACATCCGGGTTCGGACGAAATAACGAGAGTCGTAACTTTACGTACCGCACATGGGGTTATGCAAAGACCTTGCGTAAAACTTTGTCCTTTACCTTCCGATGATCATACCTAAAATACTGCGTATTTGGGCGGGGAGAATGTTCACTCCTCGTTCCTTCCTAGTTTAGTTCAATTTTTTCTTCTTTTAGGTTAAGCATTTAATTATTATATATTATGTTACTTCTATTTCAAAACACATTACTCGGTCATTCAACAGAAATATTTGAGATTTTCTATCAAATTATTTGGCCCTCACTTTTTGCTCCCGCTGTATCATAATTTCTGGCCAGCCGCCAGACGGTATGTCAGTTCTCACCGAGAAGCTCGTGCTGGCAATAGCAACTCCAAGTCGTATCGCAATCTCGAAAACACGAGAAACGTGACACGGAAAAGTGCCTTTTTTGTATTACGTGTGAAAGAGCGGTGGAAACCACCGACGCCAGAGAAGTCCAGGATTCCAGGTGGGATGACTTTCCTTTCTTCGGCTGGCAGAACCCTAACTCTCTCAAACATCAACATTTTTCGGTTTTTCGAGCTGGATCATTTGTTGGATCCTTCTAACTTGAATATTTACTGTTGAATGCAGACAAGTTAATGTTTTGCGAAGACATATAAAATTTTGAAAGACTTATGCAGCCCACTGAAACCTAGTCAAAAAATATTTGACGAGCTTATGAACCAACTGAGGGATCATTTCAAGCCAAGACTCTCAATTTACCGAAAGAGAATTGTTTTTTTCACTGGTAAGGATGAATGATAGCATTTGCAGAATTCAGAAAGAAGTTTTGAAAAGGTTAGACAGGGCCAGATTCAAGTTGAATGTCAGAAAGTACGAGGTTTTCAAAGAGAATATTTTTTATTTAGGTCATGAAATTTCAAAATTAGGGTTGGAAAAGGGCCAAGAAAAAGTCAGAGCTATTGTTAGCTCACCTAAACCGAAGAATATATTTGAAATTCGAGCTTGGTGTGGAATGATCAACTATTACTCACGGTTCTGTAAGAATCTTCAAGTGTAGCTTAAACCTTTGATAAAGAATTTCAGTGGACGCAAAAATGTGAGAATGCTTTTAATTTTGCAAAGCAGGAATTAGCTTCACATAGAATTTTGGTTCATTATTATCCAAGTAAGCCAATTTGTTTACAGTGTGATGCGAGTGAGTATGGATTGGGCGCTGTGTTATTGCATGAAATGTCTGAAGGTTCAGAAAGACCGATTTGTTATATTTCTCGTGTTTTAACAATGCCTCCTATGAAGGAGGCATTAGCTGTTTACTGGTCAGCAGTGCTGCCAACCGTACGGTAAGCACCGTACATGTACGGTATTTTAACATCGAATACGGTATACGGTCCTGACATCATTACCGCACGTAATTGTACGATAATTTAATTAAAAAAATTGAAGAATTATATTATGGTGTACACCTGTACATCCTGTACGTCGGTATACATTTTCGAAGATTCTTCGGCAGATGCGCCATCTATCATGTTTCAGCAGTAGTAGGCATCGTAAGTATTCAATAATTTGTAGCAATCTAGATTTCTAGCTATGGTGGCTGAACCTATAGGCACCTGTAGCGAAGAGATTCCTGTAGGTTGAACGAGCCATCATAGTGACCTGTTGAAAGTTTCATGCCATACCGTTAGATGCGTTAGGTTCAGTAGAAATTCGCGGATTTTTAAATAAAATCCATAAATCGGTAAATCCCCGATTTAAAAATAAGTGAATCCCCGGAGAAAAAAATATTAATAGATCGCGAGCTCGAATTCATTCGAATTATAGACAGCATTTTACGAAAGTAGGGCGTGCGACTGAATTGTTTTAATTTAAAAGTGTGTTTAATAGTTTTAAATATGTCTGACAATGACTCCAGTTCAACTTGTTTGAGTGCACTGAACCAAAAAGAATTGAGGAGAAACAAAAATGTAACAAGTAGTATTTGATTTTTTTTATTGTTTTAGCAATTCAAACAGTCATGGATTGAATTGCCTGAATATAAATCTCGGCTTCGTTCTGTACCTGATAATCCATATAAATGTAATGCTGAATTTGTGAGTGAATTGTCGACGATTAAAACACATCAAAACTCTGACAAACACAAGACAAAACTTAAGAGTCTAGATAAGTCAGATTCTAAAATTCTAATGAAGTTTATGCAGTCAGCATCTTCGACTCACGATGAAAATGTTAAGATAGCCGAACTTAAACTCTGCGGATTTTTAGTAGAACACAATATTTCATTTTTGACCATGGATCGCCTATGTCCGTTACTGCCAAAAATATTTCCAGATTCAAAAATTGCAAAAAGCTTAGCAGTTAAAAAAACAAAATCTAAAGCAATTATTACCAATGTAATAAGTCCAAGTCATAAACATGAGTTATCCGATATATTGAAAATGTCCAAATTCAGTGTTCTCACCGATGAATCCACCGACATTGCAACTACAAAATCAATTTGTATAGTAGTAAGGTATTTTAATGACAGTCTTGGCAAAATTGACATCTTTGTGGGAGTTAGTTTCTACATTTAAGGAAGAAGAAGAAGTACAATCTCAAGGATCTGCCGAACATTTATTTGTCCAAATAATGAACACTTTTTACAAACAGGAAATACCGCCAGATAATATAATTGGATTCCGATCGGATGGCTGTAATGTGATGATGGGCCAAAACAATTATGTTGCATCAAGGTTTAAAGAACTATGTCCAGGTATATTTATTTTAAAATGCGTGTGCCATTCACTTCATTCATGCAGCAGCCAAGCTTACAAAAGTTTACCAAAATCACTCGAGGATCTTACAAGAAATATCTACACATTTTTCAAGTCCAGCAGCGAAAGACAATTCGAATTTAAACAATTCCAAATGTTTGTAGAAGTAGATGTTTATGCGTATTCAGTGTAATTCAAGAAATTGCGTTGAATATTTAATCAACTGTTCCAGGATGTGCTATGGTCTCGATACGGTTGAGTGCAGAAAGCTTGCTTATGAGATGGCTGTTTATTATAATTTGAATATTCCAAAAAACTGGGAAGACAAGAAGATGACAGGAATTGACTGGTTATATGGGTATAGAAAACGGCATCGTGATTTAACCTCAAGAAAGGCTGAACCTTGTAGCCTGACCCGGGCAACATCATTCGATCGTTACAATGTGAATGATTTTTTTAATAATTTGGAAGATGTTATGCGGCGATGTCCTAGTTTTGCAGATGGCAGTAGAGTATATTGTCTAGATGAAACTGGGACCACTACTGTCCAGAAACCCAAAAAAGTAATTGCAGCAAAGGGAGCTAGACAGCTAAATAAAGTAACAAGCGCCGAGAGAGGTACACTCGTTACCACGTGTTGTGCTGTGGCTACAACGGGATCAGCACTACCTCCAGCAATGGTGTTTCCTAGAAAGCAATACAAGTCTTTCATGATTAATGGTGCACCAGTAGGAACCCTAGGTCTAGCACAACCACCGGATGGATGAATAGCGAATTGTTTCCTGAAGTCATGAAACATTTTGTGAAAGTAACAGCCTAGCACCTGCAGTGTTGAATATAACAAAGGATAATGGTGTTACCTTACTAACAATACCTCCACACTCAAGCCACAGATTACAGCCACTTGATGTGGCGGTATTTGGGCCTCTGCAAACTTATTACAACGCAGCAATGAATTCCTGGTTGATGCGTCACCCTGGGAAGACAATTTCCATCTATAATGTTACTGAATTGTTAGGACAAGCTTTCGATCGAGCCATGACACCCTCAAATATTAAATCAGGATTCCGCAAAACTAGAATATTTCCATTTGATAGGCACATTATTACTGACAATGATTTCATGCCAAGCGAAGTAACAAATCGGCCACTCGAATACCCTTCTAATGCTCCCGATCCTAGTCAGCCTCATGGATCTCATGAAGATCCTTCTAGTGCCTCTGGATTACGTCAGATCATAGAAACTCAACCAGCTTCTTCTGGTGCTCCCAGTACAAGTCAAACTTTTGGTCAAAAACATGATTCTCAAACAGCTTCGTCTTCTAATGACCTTGGATCCAAACAGCTCTTTAAACCTCAGCAAGATTCTTCAGATGCCTCCAGTTCAAGTCAAGATGGTGATGACCATGTTACTGATCCAGAACTACATTCATCTTGGATCGTTCAAGTGCCAGCTACTCCCGATCGTCAAGTGATGAAGAATAGACATTCTGAATCCGTAAGTCCAAGTTTGCTAACCCAACCTGCGGAAGCACCATCCACAGCAGCTAATGAACACTCTTCATTCACAACTCTTCTTCATCCATCTACTGCTGATTTAATTCTTGTTTCTCCTCTAGAATGTCGAGCTTATCCAAAAGCTCAGCCAAGACTCCAGTCACATCGTGGTAGAAAGAGAGGAAAAAGCTGCATCCCAACTGATACCCCTATCAAGAATGAAATTGAAAGAGAATCCTTGGAAAGAGAACGTAAAAAATTGGGAAAAGGAAATAAAAATAAGGTGCCTAAAAAA